ATAGAAGAAGAAGAAGAAGAAGAAGAAGAAGAAGAAGAAGAAGAAGAAGAAGAAGAAGAAGAAGAAGAAGAAGAAGAAGAAGAAGAAGAAGAAGAAGAAGAAGAAGAAGAAGAAGAAGAAGAAGAAGAAGAAGAAGAAGAAGAAGAAGAAGAAGAAGAAGAAGAAGAAGAAGTGGTGATACAAGCTCGAATCTCAGCAGCTTCACCAGATGTGAAAACTAGGATGACGTCCATGGAATGGGGGCTTCAGAAGGCAGGTGCTACCTGGGCTTTGAGGCAGCTCAACTGATTATCCATGCCAAAGGATCAAGGGGGAGCCTGTGGCAGACCCAGAAACTGATACTGTTTTCTGTCAAATAAATCCTGATTTTGGAATTGTCTGTAGCCTCTGAGCGATAAGCCCCATGCCTAAAGATAGTGATCCTTCTCAATTAAGCCCACACATCTACAAGGTGTGGGCGTATTGATCAAGAACGTCTCCCTTAGGAACTATGTTTCTAAGCTCAGTATCGTTTTAATTTATGCTATTAGTTACCATGGCCATTTCAAATGAATGAAGTGAAATTATTATTTTCATTTACTGGGGATATTTTATTCGGTTTTTGTTTTGTTAAATGCAGGGAGTTCTTTCTGGAACACCATGGTATATAAAACAGGGATATAAATAAATAAAGTCCTCCCTCAACTGGTGCAAATACGCTTTATGGAGTCAACACTTTCTGAAAAGCTAACTATAAGGATGCCATGCTAACTAGGAATGGGTGTGTAACAACAAGGGAGCTGCAACAGGAAAGCATTGAGAATCCAGCCTCCTTCACCTTCCCTTCACGTGGGAACCATGAAAAGATGTTGGTGGCTAGTCTACATAATATAAAATGACATGAACCTGAAAGGAGCCTCCCCTGAGCCTCCCCTGATGTCATTGGCTAGTCCTTTCAACCCAGAAGTGCCTTGATAGGTGTTTCTGACACGAATGTTGCAGCAGTAGCCACTCTACAATGGATAAATTAGCCAAGCGCCTATGTGTGGAGATGTTCCTGGAAGAACCTCAAGGCCAAACCCCAGGGAAGTTCTTGAGGTCCAACCCAGCACCTTGAATGGCCTGCAGAAACATCTCAATAATCCATACACTAACTGCAAAATAGCTGTTACAGGACTACAGCAACATCGGTTGGCTAATACACAGATCAGGTGAAGTTTTGGAGTGCTTTCCAGAGGCAGAACCCACTGCAGAAATCCACTTTACCTTGGGAGATGTCCTCCTGCCTAGGAAAGGAGAGCCGCTCACTCTTGTTCACCTGTTGGGAAGGTTCTTTCTCTGGCTTTTGCTGCGGCTGTTGTTTGGGATATCTCCCTTCGTTGAACACGTGGGGCAGGTTAGCTGTATGCACCTGCCTGAGCTGTTCATAGTCACTCAAAGCAGCAGTGAAATCCCAGTTTTTGCCTGAAAACACAGAAAGGGAGGCAGGGTTGACTTCGACAGGCATGATGTCTATAAATAGGAGCAGCAGACATCCGCTGTTTCGGATCCATTAAACTGAAGTAAAAGGTATCAAAGTAAACACTGGCAGTGATTTTCATTGTCTGTGAGCCTCTTGGAAGCAACAGTTGGGGTTTGGAGAAGCAAGACGGGAAGAAGATTGACACATTTGGACTTCAGGGCTGGAGAAGATGGAATATCACGGACAGCCAAGAAAGCCAACCAATGGATCATTGAACAACACATCAACTTAAGAGTCCTCACTCAAGACACAAAGGACCAGGCTCAAATTATCCTGCTTTGGACACATTATGTGAAAACCCAACTCTGTGGAGAAAGCTCTGATGCTAGGAAAAATGTTGGTCTATCTAACAGCGCCACATAGCAGGTTGTTAAAACTTATTAAAATGGAGTGCACACCCAGTTATTTGGGTCTCCTCGAAACCAGCAAGGATGAGCCAGTGAATTAAACCAAAAGCCTCCAACCTTGGCAACTTGAAGACTTGTGGACTTCAGCTCCTAGAATAGCTGACTGAGGAATTCTAGGAGTTCGAGTCCACAAATCTTGAAGTTGCCTAGTTTGGAGACCCCTGAACTAAACTATGGGAGGAAAAATGAGAGAAATCCCTATTTCACAGAGTTGATCTGTGGAACTGAGTAATGACGGCCCACCAATCTGAATAACTTTCAAAGGGAAGTGAGCCAAAAACTGACAGGGGATGCCCATTCAACTTTGTGGATCTAAATTATGTTTGCCAAAGAGAAGCTGTACCACTCTTAATACTAGTTTCTGGATGATTCATACTTCTGGCCACATGACCTCTTAGCTTTGTTATCTCTAGAAATTAGATACCTGGATTATATAGCACTTGATCAACAGAAAGCATAAATGCTGATACAGTTAATTAGCCAAATAACCAAACAAAATGTCATAGTATATTTAATTATAATCCAGCTTTAAACAACTCTCAGTTATTTAGAGCATTAGCTCTTCCAGAGACAGTATATGTTGGTTCGTAGCACCGTAAAATATTTAAAATGGCCAAATAATAGAATTTACTGAGCATTTTGGATGAGTCCAGTGATCCGTATTCAAATAGAAATATAAAATGCTTAATTCAAAGAAAGGCATATTATATTAAGCAGATCTCTGCAAAGAGACTGTTTTCCAGAAGAGGGACAATAAAGCATGATGTATGTTTGAACAAGCCGCATTTATTTCATTCACTGAGGACTGCATTCTAACGTATAATATATAACTTCAATTTATAACCGGTTCATTGCCTTTGTTATATTCTTAAACTTTAATTCTTGCTCTTGAATGCTGTGGTGAATTATCACATCAGACCCTTATTATTTTTCAATGCACTGTTAATAAATAAACGGCTAAAGTATTCATTATATCATCCTCCCTTAATCGTTCACATCTAAACCGCCTTTTCTTTCCCCGGTCTATTCTGAACACACAATATCCATGTGTTGGAGAGGACAGAACATGACAAAAAGGGCAGAGCTAAAACTGTGGCAATGAAATGTCATCAAATGATTAAACACACACACACAAGGATAACTGGATTAAAATAAGGATGTAACCATTCTGGAGGAAGGATCACATTTTCTAATTCCAAATAATTTTCTGCAATGAAAAGGCAAATTTTAGGAATTTTGAGGAGGAGGAGGGAGGGAGGGAGGGAGGGAGGGAGGGAGGGAGGAAGGAAGGAAGGAAGGAAGGAAGGAAGGAAGGAAGGAAGGAAGGAAGGAAGGAAGGAAGGAAGGAAGGAAGGAAGGAAGGAAGGAAGGAAGGAAGGAAGGAAGGAGCGAGCTACTTTTGGGGATGAATTTGAAGGCAGAAGATGCTTTTATACGATTTTATCTCACAATTGGCTTCTATGCATGGAAAAGCTGCCAGGAACAGTAGCGGCTTTATTTTGATGCCTGCAAAATGGTTATCTCCAAGCAATAATTCAAGCAGCATTGTCAAGCTGATAGAACAATATCCTGCTGTTCCAAGAGATCAACCTTTGCCTGCCAAAAGAAAAAAGAAAAAAAAAAACCAGAAAAGAAATGACATTTGAGCAATTTTTTAGCTTTTTTTCCACCCGAAGATGATTAGTGGTTTTTATCAAAGCAGAATGCATTTAATTTTCTTCCATTGAAGTAAGGCATCATTAACAGCAGAAGGATGAGCGCCCTTAGCAATCTTTCAAAGGACAGTCAGAAATTACCACATTCCCCCCAGACCACATGCTCTTGTGAACAGCGTCTCCACAAATTGGCTGGCAACGAGGCAGCCCTCCAAGCTGACATTTCTTTGAAATGGCACGGTGAAACGCCAGCTGACGTCAAACAGTTAGGTGGCTTTTCTTCCAAACCACTATTATTTAAATCTTACCTTCGTTTGGATTCACAACCATCTTGACCAACCATTGCAATTTCTTCCCAAGCTCTCTCTCTCTCTCTCTCTCTCTCATACACACACACACACACACACACACACACACATATACAACTGCTTTTCTATTTGGTGCTCTTGGAAAGTTACCTTTTACACTCTCTGTGTGCCAGTAAAGATAAAATATGGTCTATAACGTATTGCTTACAGAAAATAAGACTTTTATTTCAATCTGCCACACTGGGAAGCCTACGAGGGAGTGTGTTACACACCAGATAAAAAGAGAGGAGGGACATTTATCATCAGTGACCATTTAGCCCAGATAACCAGGAAGCTGGGAAGAAGCATTTCAAATTGAAATAATGCGGAATAACAGAATTGGGAGGGACCTTGGAGGTCTTCTAGTCCAACCCCGCTCAAGCAGGAGATCCTAGACCCATGATGGCGAACCTACGCAGAGTCATTTGTGCCGGCACATCAGCTGCAAGGCAAATTTACCTCCCTGCGCATGCGTCACAGCTGATTCTTCAGCTGGTTTGAGGCCTTTTTCGGCCTCCCAGAGGCTTGAAAAAAAAGCCTCTGCAGGCTTTGCAGGCTGAATAATAGGCCCGTTTTGTCACTTCCTGTAATATCTATTATTCAGCCTGCAGAGGCTTTTTTTTCAAGCCTCTGGGAGGCCGAAAAGGGCCTCAAACCAGCCCAAAATCCGCTGTGAGGTGCAGTGCAGATAAGGGGACAACTGGAGGGGGGGAGAGATTGCATGTGCATGCGCAGATGGGATGTGTGTGGGGCATGCACATTGCCTTCTGGGTGCTGGCCCGCAAGAATGTGAGTGCAAAATTTTTGGCACAGGAGTCCAAAAAGGTTAGCCACCACTGTCCTAGACCATTTCAGGCAAATGGTTGACCAGTCTCTCCTTAAAAGCCTCCAGTGATGGAGCACTCAAACTTCCACTGGTTAATTGAAAATTAAATGAATTTCATAAAAAATTAAATCATTGAAAGAGACTCTGCTTGGATCAACAAGGTCAATGCAGGAAGGTTGCAAATTCATATTGCAATGTCCAACAAGGTTTGATCCTAGCCTTAAAGAGACCTTCCTGGTTGGTTCTTGTTTTTAAGAGAACTTGCTATTAAGAGAACTGTATAAGACAAGGAATGTGATGTTGTGTAGTGTTGGCTAACTATGGATTCCTCCCTTGTGAACACAGGTTGTTGAAAAGGATGCAGAGATGGCTTCTCCCAGAATAGCTAAAGACTATCTGAGATGGTCGTTCCACTGCTCTCATGTGAATTTCTCCACAGTTTTGCACAAGTGCGTGGCAAATCCCACCTCCTTTGGATTCAGCAATCTACCAAGCTGGAGGTGGGTGAGAATTATTCCATAAAACAGGTGGCAGATTGTTCTTTTACAGATGGCTTAATACAAAAAAAGAACGAGCGTATCTTTCCCTGACTTTACACAAATGTCTTCTTTTGGTCACCTGAACGTGATGTTGTAATGAAACGGTGCAAAGGTACTTGTGGGCAAGGGACATCCTGTGTGTGATGTGACATCCTTCTGCGAATGGCGTTGAGTTATGTATTTTATGCACGTGACATCTTGTGCCTTGTTCCAAATGTCACTATGGGGACGTGTGAAGGAATGTTGAGAGGACCTCCTGCCTCATTTAAAAGAAGCATGAAGAAGCTGGTAGGAGAGAATGCATGGTCCTGAGAAGATAACCCCACCTTGATTTTGTCTGATATGAGAGGGAACAAAGGAAAGTCCAGCCCACTTAGCGTCTAACCTTGCTAATAAAAATTGTAGCAAAACAATGGATCTACCACCCTTGACAACATCTGCTCACCACAAATTCTGCCTCTTCTGCTTTGTCCCATAAACCTATATACTGCGAAAGCTTTCGTTCCTGAATCTTTAACTGAAAAACCGTGCATCACAGGGCAACAGTTTTTGCACAACCAACACAAGCTGTGAAAAGGATAACGCTGCCATAGATCAAAAACATCTCGGAAACAACCAATGGATTATCACAACCACACGGCATCACCGCAGCACGCCAACCAACCAACCCCTTCAGGGTATCCCAACATTTCCATGGAAGGAAGTACATCAGCTGCTCGGCCCTGGTTGAAGGCATGAGGAAGTAAGGAAGCCTCGCAGAAAGGATGACGCAACAAGTCATGGGTTGTCTAGTAAGGTTTGAAGATGAGATCCAGAGAGGTGTATCTTCTACATTTGGGGGCTCCTATCCTGCAACACATGCAAAGGGAGCTGAAGGAAAGGTGGATTGAGAGCCCCTCACCTTAGCAGCCTCAAGACTTGTGGACTGAGAGTTGCTCAGAATGGCTGGCTGAGGAATTCTGGGAGTTGAAGTCCACAGGCCTTCAAGTTGTCATGGTTGGGGACCCCTGCTGTGGATGATGTTTCGTGGTGGAACTCTTACCTTCCAACAAGTCTCTGGCTAGACCAGGCTCTGCCCCCGTGGACTGAACGAAGTCTGAGAGGACAGCATCCATATCAAGAGTCATGGGAGCATGTAGGGCAGCTGCTAACTGGGCAGCAGAAGGAGGAAGGTTACAAGACATCCATCTGCCAAGAGGGAGAAAGAAGATCCCAGATTAACCACCTACTGGAGGATAGGAGAAGTCAGCTTTCTGAAACAGAATCCCCCAAAATTCAATGTGGAGGTTTGAACTAAACTTTCTTGTAGGCATTTAGGTAGGGTATGGCATCTACAGAGGTCATGCAATCACTGATATACAAATTTAGTTTAAATATAATTTGATATTTAAGGAGGACTATGCATTTGAATCTTCCATAGCTTGGTCAGTAGTCAAGGACCTCAATTCTCTACCTCATCGTAACAATTGGGTCTGCCCAGCTCTTGGGTGAAAAAAATAAACTGGAAAAATATATTTCCATCACTGATGACAGAGAGCTTGGGGAAAAGAAAGACCAATCATATCAACGGAAGTCAAGAAATCAAGGCATGTTTGATTTATTTATGTTTTACAAGTTTGTGTTATCCTTTCTTCCCTGAACGTTCCTTGGGTTTTTCAGGCAATTAACTCTTCTTATAGATTCCAAACTCGGTATAATGATAAGGCCCCAGGTTTCCCTTTTAAAAATTAGCCTGAAAATTGATACTATCCAGATGCAAACTTATTTTTGAGCAATAAAAGTCCATAAAGGCAACACAATTCAACACCTGCTGTTGTTTTAATACACAGCCTTTTCTGGCAGTACATTGCCTGTGTATTTAAATTGAACTAGAAACTAATATTTACATGTTCCAGGATAGGAATCCTTCAGTTCTTGTTTCACAGGCCATAAATGGACTCAGAAATTGATTTTCTAGTAGCCTTAATCCTAAGCAGTGCAGAGATAATACTATACACTTAGATAGTTGTTGCAGGAGTTACTAATATCTCTGTGAAGCCTTAACATAGATATAATTAGAAAGTGTTGCTATTTTTTAAAACTCACAACACTGTTGGCTTCTACAACCACTAAACTCAGGTCCTGCTCACATGTTTACAATCTTATTATTTCTTGGGTGCATCAATGTCTAGATTTGGCATCTTCTAGCTGCTGCATTTCATGCTCTTCCACTGCCTTCGTGATGTGATGTTCACCACCAGATTCCTCCTTTGCAACGGAGCTAGTGGTCTTCTTGATGTGGCTTCTTCCACAACTTTCCTTGGGCACCACCGATGACGTGTGTTTGGCCAGAGAGGGCAAATACATGCGGTTCCTACAGAGCTGAGTCAAGGAATCTCTTTTGATGGTGATTATGACTGCAACTATCACGACAACAAAGAATGCAATTCCCAACCTAATTCCCAAACTGGTGTTCCTCATTTTAATGAAGGAGAACTGCCGTTCCTCATGGACTCTTCTGAGTTGATAGCACGGCCTTGAGGACGAAGCCCAGAGGACAAGGTTATGTTCACATAATTGTGGCACTTCCTGAGGTACCCTGGCTTTTTCACTGTTGCATCACAATCAAGCTGAGATCAAGAGGACATGTTAGGTCAGTGATGACTAATGCAACCTTTTGACTTCCCTACAAAGAAATGGGTTTCATTAAGGGTTTTATGAAACCAAGAGACCTCCAAGTTTCAACTATGGCTGTTTTCCTGGAAGCTTCATGCTAGTATCTGAAGATATTTGAAGGTTTGCTATGTTGTAGAGCAGGGGTCGCCAACCTTTTGGACCTCAAGGACCACCAAACTCATAATTTCAAATCCCGCGGATCACTAATATGAATTTTGACTGATGGTGTATGAGGCAAGAGAAGCTTTAACATGAGGTTGCACAGGCCACATGGCGCATAAGGAGAGCATATCGCTCACAAGAAGCAACCAGAGATCCACCTGAAAGTGGCTCTTTATTTAGTCCTTTACTTTATGTACAACTTGTCCTTGTCTCACAACAGTTCGCTTAATGACCGTATGAAGTTACAATGGCGCTGAAAAAAAGGCGATGTTTAATCATTTTTCACCCTTGTGACCACTATAGAACCCCCGTGGTCACACGGCTTACCTTCAGGTGCTTGGCAACTGACTCACATATATGACGGTTGCAATGTCCCCCAGGGTCTCGTGATCCCCTTTTGCAACCTTCTGAGAAGCGAAGTCAAGGGGGGGGGGAACCAGATTCACTTAATGACCAGTTAACTTAACAATGGCAGCAATTTGATTAACAAATGTGGCAGGAAAAGTCGTAAAATGGGGCAAAACTCACTTAACAAATTTCTCACTTAGCAACATAAATTTGCGGCTCAATTATGGTCATAAGCTGAGGGCCACCTGTGTTTATATATCTCATTTATTAACCACCCATCTTCCCAAAGGGACTCTGGATGACTAATCCTAGACTAATCTGGGCTGCACCCAGACATCGGACTTGGCTCTCTTAAATGATCCCTAGTATGATTTGATTGCTTATGGTACCCTATGACTATCATTAAGTGTTGTACCTGATGGTTCTGGACTCTTGACGAATGTCTCTTTTCTTTTATGTGCACTGAGAGCATTTGCACCAAGACAAGTTCCTTGTGTGTCCAATCACACTTGGACTGTTACGCCCCTGGTGGAGACTGACTCTGAGGGAGAGGAGGAACAGCCGATAGGGAGTGGAAATGTGGCTCGGGAGGTCGTGGAGGAGGTTGGGGAAGGCCAGTCAGAGGAGGACCCAGGCCCATCTCCTCCCCATCCTAGGACACACAGGGAGGAGGGGATAAGGGAGAGACGTGAATGGTGTGGACTACGGGGAAGGAAAGGGCCTTGATCCTCTTCATGGGCTGCAGCTGTGACAACTGGATAAGAGGACGGACATGCGTACAGGCGAGTGCTGGAAACAAAGCATGGAAATATCTCTAGTTGATGGTTCCTTTCTGAGTTTGGCGTCCTTCCCAGTGTGTGTTTATCTGTGGATGTCCTCCAGCCCTTATCTTGCCTGGTTTGTGTTGTTTCTTCTTTCTTCTTGTAACTGTTTGTGTGGGGTTTTTTTGTCTTCTGTCAAGAATATTCGGAGCTTGGAAGCAAAGTGAAGGAATAAAAGGGGCTTCACCTATTTTCTGTGACTGTGTTTGTTTTATATCCCACCCTGGGTCATCACATGGACAATAAAGAATTCTATTCTATTCTTTCCTATCCGAATTCTACTTTATTATTTTCTATTCTATTTCTAATTCTACTCTATTCTTTTCTTTTCTATTCTATGAAGAATGACAAAGAAGAATTGTCAATGTCTCCTCTGACTTACTTTCAGCAGACTTGAAGTCAAGTTTCGCCAGCGTGCGTCAGATGGTGAAGATGCTAGTTCATTTTTATCTTCACAGTAAGCCGTGAGAGTAAGTTACGTCTCCTGAGAAATCTGTAAGGAAAAAGAAAGCCGGGTTAAAAATAAAATTCTGGAGTCAGGGATGTGTATCGGCATGGAAAGAAAAACCAAGTTGATCCCCTTTTGCGACCTTCTGACTAAGCCAGCGGGGAAGCCAGATCCATTTAACAGCCGTGTTTCTAACTTTTAAGAACTGCCCTGGTTCACTCAACAACCCTGTTAGTTAAGTTAACTACAATGGTTTCCTTAACAGGTGTGGTGAGAAAGGTCATAAAAACAGAACAAAACTCACTGAACGGTGATCTTGCATAGCAACAGAAATTTGGAGGCTCAAATGTAAATCCACTTGTGACAAGTTATAACTTTAGAGAGGTTGAAATATATTGGTATTGCTGTAAGGAATATCAGAAGCCAATTCTTTCTATTTTATTTTTATTTTATTTTTGTTCGTTCCCACTGTCTGGGGAATTCTGGGAATTGAAGTCCACTCATCTGCTAGTTATCGAGGTTGAAAAATACTGTTTTAAAGCCAATAGATTTAATTCAGGTTCCTGATTATATCCACAGGTACTACTAGTCATCCAGGTTAAATTTTTTCCCCTAAAGAATGCTGCCTTTATCTCTGTTAAATTTCATTCTCTTCTTTTTCTGTTTTTCTATGGCATTTGCTATTCCATCCATTTAATCTGCATTCTCTCGCTTCTTTGGTGCCGTCTGCTACTGCCATTATCAGCAAAAGCCAAATAAATAAGAAAGTAATTCAGTTTGCGTTTCATGGCAAGGATGAGCACAAAAGGTCTGAAGAAATAGCATCCAGAGAGGGGGGAAAGCACCAATATTTTCTCTTCTCTTTTCAGGGCTGGAATGAAAGAAAAGAATTTGCCTGCGGGGTGCATTTTGGGAAAAGACAGCACTGGCAGGGCCTTGATAAATGAATGCACAGGAAAACTTTCAAGAAAATGGTGTAATATTCACATGCTGAGATTTTCTGCAGTCATCACTATCTATTCATATGTGTGTGTGTGTGTGTGTGTGTGTGTGTGTGTATTCATATTCTCATGGAATTCTTAGTACCTCATAATGGAGAATTACTGCTCCTGTTAAGAATTTCCCTTGAATTAATATTGAGAGCTGCTATTTATATTCCCATATAATGCAATGGTGCTGCCAAAAACAAAATAGCCTTTTTATTTTATTCTTTTAAGGAGTGAAACAAAATTGCTTTAATTGAGTACTTCAGATGTTCTTATAATGGAAAAGCTTCTCTTTAAAAAAAAACCAAACAACCAGTGAGAAATGACACACTAAAGACTCAACAATTTAGTTTATCTTAAATCATTGTGGGGTTTTTAAAAAAACAAAACAAAAAAGAGGTAACAGAACTACCATTGCAGTAACTTGGTTTATCAGGCTTAATAATATTAGTTAAATTTATGATAATCAGGTGTCTTGGACCATTTGTAGACAGAAAATGCAGACTAAGCATTCAAATTATATGGCCTTCACTAAAGCAATAAAATGAAATGAATAATGACAGATATTTTGTAGCAACGTGAATGATAGCAACTTTCAGCTTGCAATAACACCAGATTTGCTGTAATCAATGTTACACAACGAGGAGATAAAAGAGTAAGTAGAATCCTCCAATTAATCAGCACTTAATAAATGAAATTTCTTCAAAGACTACCATGGAAACGATTCCATAACTATAACGAGCTAAAACTAAGATGATATTATGAACTTTATAACAAGTGATGAATTTGCTTTGCCCATATTTCTTCTGATATCAATGGGCAAGAGATTGGAACAGAAAGGAAAAACACACACAAATTCTGTGGTCCCTGTTATAACTCACACATTTCTAAATGCCATGATCATTGTATGATAATAAAGAATGTGAGGATGGTTTTCATGTCCATGTGGAAACAAACCTAGGTTTATCATAATAGGTATAAAAATAACGGCCACATACATTCATCATATTTTGTGAAGTTAAGTAGATGTTCTAGAGCAGCCGTCTCCCAAACTTGGCAACCTTAAGACTCGTGGACTTCAATTCCCAGAATTCCCCAGCCAGGCTGGCTAGGAATTCTGGGACTTGAAGTCCATAAGTCTTAAGGTTGCCAAGTTTGGGAGACCGTTGCTCTAGATCATCCAAAATACAATAAAAAGTCTCTTTGTGATCAAGAGTCTATATTGTATGTGGGCTGCTCTAGAATTGTCCGGCCTGAGTTACGAGTTATCCTCTTGATGCCTTTTGCAGTCCTGAAAACAAACATTCAGCATTCTCTGCTACTTTGGAAGAAGTAAGAAATATTTTGCTAAATGAGGGTTGGGGGGAAAAGTACACACCCTGGAAAAAGCTGCACTGCATCACATCCTTAAGTATAAATCCCTAGAGAGAAGAGAGTGACCCTTTAGGGACAGAATTGACTGCAGTGTTAATTTATGACGATCACAGTTTTCTCTGCAGTCATGTGATCGAAACTTGGTTGCCTGGAAGCCGGCATGTAAAAGCTACGATGGTGGCTAGGCCTGGGGTCATGTGATGTCCATTTGGGACCTTCCCAGGAGGCCAGGAAGACAAAGTCAATGGGAAAAGCTGGATTCCTTTAATGGCCACATGATTCCCTTAGCAACTGCAGGGATTTGTTTAACAACTGTGACAAAAAAACAGGCTTCAAAATTGGGCATGTCTCGCATAACAACGGCCGTGCATAGCCACAGAAATTCTGGACCTATTCTTTGCCTGAAGGTTACAATAAAGAGATGATGTCTTTGGTTATTCATGTATTAACAACAGCTAGAATTGTATTTGCACAAAATTGGAAAAATGAGAAAATTCCGACAGAAAAGGAAATAATTAAGAAAATAATGGAATGTGCAGAAATGAGTAGATTAACAATGGCAATTAGAGAACAGGAAGAAAAAGATTACTATAAAATTTGGAATTTATTTTATGAATGGCTAGAGAGAAGAGTAAGAAATTGAAATATGTAATAACAGTATAATATATTATAATTGATTGAGTTAGAGTAAGAGAAAGAATATGAAATATACTTTTGAAAGAAAATAACAATGTTAATGACAATACAACAATTGATAAATGTGATATAAAATACTGATTAGAATGGCTATAAATATAAATAAGGTATGTATGATAATATGACTATGTGCACAAGATATATGTCCCCAACCGACACATTGTTGAACAGAAAGATGGTTTTATTTGTCTGTTTTTGTTATAAAAAAAACTTTTTCAAAAAAAGAAAAGAAAAGAAATTCTGGACTTATTCTGAAGTCATAAGTCTTCGAAGCAACTACTTCTCTTTGTAAATATTTTGAGTCTTTGGTACATGATTTTCAGGGCCTTGAGGTTGACCACTCCTTTCTGGGGTGACTCTGGAGAAAGAGAGAATCTAGCAATAAAATAATCTTGCAAGAAGCTTGCTTGCCTTCCCGCTCCCTCTCCTCTACCCCAACACAACAGGGATAACATTAAAGCAAATCGCAGAGATGCTGGAAGAGACTCAAGGAACACGCAGGATGCTTTATTTTATTTATTTATTTTAAAAGGCACTAATGAAAGATGCCTTAGATAAACCATCTATTGTGGCCCTAAATGTAGTCACTGAGGAAGACAAAAAAGCCACTGAAAAGGGGGGAAAACTAGGAGCTCGAAGGAAGCTAGAGTTCAATGAAGTCATTATGCATTTGGGAACAAGTTCACAGTCACTTGCAGCAGTAGCTGTTGTGGCATATTATTTATTTAAAGCAACGGTGGGGGGCGGGGGGGTGGACACATAATTTTTGTGAGATAAAGGAGAATAAAAAGACCGACGGAAGGGGAAGATCGCCAATTGGTCCAACTACTTCGGAGTTTCTCAATATCGGTGATGTTAAGGTGGGGGAAAAAATACCTGTCTTTGTGGGGTTGTTTTTTTTTTTAAGTCAAAGGGCCATGCAAAACTATTAGCTAAATTATTTGTGGTTGTTTTTTAAAAATTAAATAATAGGCTACGTTCTAATTTCTTGCCTGGGAATTGCAGTTGGTCATTGTTAGTATAAAAAAAAAAACGTTTCCTTTTCAGTCTTCAAGCTTTTGGAAATGCACCTTTAATTATTAGTTTCCCCGTGTTCCTCTCTTCCCCCACAATCCTTCTTTCTCTTGCTTTGTTTGCAGTTTTATTTTGTGAGACTGCTAAATTTATTTCGAATTTGCCTCTGGTGGCCAACACCTGGAAACTTTGCCTATCTGGAAGGCTGACCTGGAGCCCCATTGACATCACAAGCAAATACGGAAAAAAAAGAAAAAAAAAGAGATGACAACAATTGGCACCTTTGTGGGTCGGCTTTGGCAACTGTGATCAGGGCAACCTGAATCAAAAGCTCAGGAGGGAATTAAAATCTCTTTTCCCTGCTTTATTATTGGCAGAATATCTCTTGAACTCAGTATCAAATAAATGAGATGTCTCCTTTCTTCCTGATGTGTGGGGTTTTTTGTTTTTTTTAATATAACTCAGATTTGGAAGGGGTGTTTTCTATAGCATCCACATCAGGGATGTCCAAGATTGGCCACTTTGAAGACCATGCTGGCTGGGGAATTCTGGGAGTTGAAGTCCCCAAGTCTTAAAGTGGCTAAGCTTGGGCAACCCTGATCTACATGATCTTCCACAGCAACTCCTTACTTCTTCTTCCTCCAGAAATGCATAATAATAGTCCATATTTGCAGCCACGGCACACACTGTGCCCAGAGCAGCATCCAAGTGCAGCATTGAATATAGCCCAGCCATGTTTGATGATCCTCGCATCTCTATTGCCAATGTTCTCTAGTCTTCAGCTCCGATCGCTTCAGAAGCAGAAGATATAATGCAAGCAAGAATTAATTATATTTCCAACAGCTCTGCACCGCCATGAACTCCATCAAATTCCTGAGAATTGTCAAATGGGGCTCATATCTCTTTCCCTCTTACCCTCCCTCTCTCTTCCTCTCTCCATCTTCCTCCCTCTCTCCATCTCCCTCCCTCTCCCTC